GGTGGAGGGGGAAGGGGGGAGGGGGGAGGGAAGTGATATGGGGTGGAGGGAGTTCACAATTTTAATCATATCTTGTTGCATTATTGACTGGTGATTTACATGCATACAGATCATGATGTTGGAGTGTTATTTCAATCAGTAACAAATGAAGGAGCTTTTATTGTGTTTTGGAATTGGAATTAATAGGACCATTCTTTAGAAGGTTTTTAGAATTCAGATGCTGAGTATGCCAGTAAACTGTTTACTATAATAATAGAAACCTACTGTAATAATAGAAACCTACTGTAATAATAGAAACCTACTATAATAATAGAAACCTACTGTAATGATAGAAACCTACTATAATAATAGAAACCTACTATAATAATAGAAACCTACTATAATAATAGAAACCTACTGTAATAATAGAAACCTACTGTAATAATAGAAACCTACTATAATAATAGAAACCTACTATAATAATAGAAACCTACTATAATAATAGAAACCTACTGTAATAATAGAAACCTACTATAATAATAGAAACCTACTATAATAATAGAAACCTACTATAATAATAGAAACCTACTATAATAATAGAAACCTACTATAATAATAGAAACCTACTGTAATGATAGAAACCTAATATAATAATAGAAACCTACTATAATAATAGAAACCTACTGTAATAATAGAAACCTACTATAATAATAGAAACCTACTGTAATAATAGAAACCTACTGTAATAATAGAAACCTACTATAATAATAGAAACCTACTATAATAATAGAAACCTACTGTAATAATAGAAACCTACTATAATAATAGAAACCTACTATAATAATAGAAACCTACTGTAATAATAGAAACCTACTATAATAATAGAAACCTACTATAATAATAGAAACCTACTGTAATAATAGAAACCTACTATAATAATAGAAACCTGTTATTCTAAGTCATAGATAAAATATAGTATTCATAAACCCTGTTTACATTACAAAAATTATCCTTTCTGAGAACAGTTCCAACAACTGAACAGTAAAAATTTGGTAGTGTAAACGGTGGAGCGTTCTCAGAACAGTTCTTAAACATGCATCTTGACCCCTCAACATGTTATACAGTTTCTGTGAGCAGACGAATTTGCCTTCATCCAGGTTATAGCAACGTCTAAATTAACTCTTTCGTGAAGAGTTCAATTAAAATGCGTCTGAGAACAATAAATCATTTACATTATTGTTATAGAATTGATCTCGCAATGCTTGAAATTATAGTAGTGTAAATGGTAAAAATTTGGTAATTTTATCGCATCCCGGTCTAGACCAAGATATGTAAATATTGAAATATCTGTTAAGTTTACATGAAAAATTGTGTTTTAAAATATTATATAGATGGAAAAATCTTGGTAGTGAAATACAGATATTAGGAATACAGATTGATATATTTTAAGAAATGAAATGAAGAAATAAGTAACACAGATGTTTGTCTAATATTAAAAAACATGACTGTGAATTTTAACTGTTTTTTTTGAATATCTTTAAGTAAACATAAAAAATACAGATTTAGAATGTGATTTATCAAACAAATAGAAAAACCTTGGCCATGAAATGTAGAAATTAGTAATACAGAAGGTACGTTACTGGTGTATATTAAATTTACACGAGGTATTGGCATTGTCGTCTTCTTTAATCTTTCTTTTAACCTTTTCTCTCGTGCATCACCTAGGTAACGGTTTTAGTCTGGTATATAGAATAGATATAGGTAGTGATAACTTGTCGCTGTTTCCTCTCAAATATATATTATCATATCTTACTTATATCATTATCATATTTTTCTATGTGTGATATTTATATCTCCTACCTTCCTAGCTCATCCGACAACCATTTTGTATCAAAATGATGTCTTTTAATATCCATGAGCAAATGTTTACCAATATGTAATTGAGGGTGGGGGGGTAGGGGGGGGAGGGGCTCTCTGGGGTAGGGGAGTTGAAATAGTCAGTTTTTATCAGGGTTGCAATATCTTTCTCATATTTTTTTCTGTTTTATATTTTTATCTCCTGTATTACTCTTCAGTTAAACACTTTGTGTATTCAAAATTTATATTTCAAAACTTCATAACTTACTCCTTGATTGGTATTTTGCATGTATATTGAGATCACAATTAATATTGGTCCAAGAGAAAAGATTGAGGAAGTGGAAAGTAATTTTTTTCGTATACTTGTCATGAATACAAATAAATTCATACCACTCAACTCTTCTGCTATCCAAATTATTTTGTAGCAATAATCCTCAATGGCCCCAGTCAATATTGTATACAACATTTTTGAGAACTTTGTTGTCACATATACAAAGTAATTGCGTTAAACTCGTACTATATTCAATATATGACGTCTGCCAAACAATCAGAAGTGACCGCTGTTAAACCAACAGACACATATTGATTCTTTCCCGCCATTTATTATATTTACCGTCTGCTACATGACCTCAATTTAACCTTGACCTCATTCGTCTTGAGTTAATCTTCTTGTTTCCAATTGATATTAAAGGAAAGAAATTTAATCAAGATGATGGTTGGTACAAGAAGAATTAATGGTTGTCAATGATATTCTCGTTAATTGAGCTATTGTATAGACATTGGGTTCATCAATCATTAATGATGGGATGATGACAAGAGACAGATTGTGCCCAGATTTGAGGCCTAATTACTTGTAAATGTCTTTTGATTTAAAGGGACGTGACACTAAAATAAAAATCTGTAGGTCTACAAGCAAGACAATTCCGTTAATCAAAAAGTCGTCCAAAGTATGGCTAAGTTGAGAGTAAAAGTAGTATAGTAGTGGACTTCTCTGAAGAAAAGTACCATCAGGTGTTTCGAAATGAACAAGAATAACCAAAAACTCCCTCTCCCCCTCCCTCTCCCCCTGCCTCTCCCCACCATCCATCCTTGCCCCTCATTCATTTATTAATGTACTTCCTGGTACAAATTCTATTCAGAATAAGCATAACCAAAAAATTAAAAACATATTCTTGAAATTATTTACAACTGATTTAAGGTTTTAATTACATAAATATACTCATCCGTTTCCACAATAATACTTTTTTATCAGGGCAATTTATATCCTCTAATTGTATCATTCTACTATTCTGTCAAATGTTTCTGCATCCAGTAAACAAATACATGCTCAACTATATATTAATATAACTATTACATTAGTAACTTTTTCCTCCTTGACCGCCTCCTCCCATCTCCTATCACGGTAGCCTACTTTCTGGACTGATACTGATATAGTAAAAGCTAGAAGATATTAAGGAGCTTAAGAGAGAAAGAGGGGATAATTAGCTGTTTTAAAGCAGTAACTTGCTTCTTGTGCAACCCTCTGTCACCCCCTCATACCCCCTCCCCCACATCTCGCCCTTGGCCTTGCCCCTCATTTATCAGTGTACTTCCTTGTACAAGTTCCATTCTATGTATCTTATATAAAAAAATTAATAAGTGTTGAGAGTGAGAGAGAAGGCATCCCCTTTTGCTCTTCACCCCTCACCCCCTCCCTCTCCCCCTGCCTCTCCCCACCATCCATCCTTGCCCCTCATTCATTTATTAATGTACTTCCTGGTACAAATTCTATTCTATATACCGGGTTTATAAGATGGTATGAGATAAAAAGAAACTCAATAAGAGTAGAGAGAGAGAATGAGGTTATAAATTCTGTCCAGATAAACCAATTTTATTTTCTCCATTATAGATAATATCCTTTCATTACTTCCATTTTCCAGTACTTTCGTCTGAAGCTACTATCATACCGTTTCAAGATGGCTGCCATAAATCAAAATGGCGTTTACAAATGTTTTAAACCAGATAACACCTGTGATTAAATTCCAAACATAACAAATTTATGTTTTTTGTTTTAATGATATATATTGTTGATAAATGTACTTCATGATGTTCTTAAGGTATATTAGGTTTGGATGGTTTTGAAAATGACCTTCAAAATTTATACCAAAGCGATCTCCCTCTGAATTTGAGCAATATTGATTGATATTTTGATAAAATTATTACAAATATAACTCTTAGAAGTCTTGTATATCAAATCCAAGATTTCTGACAAAATGATGACTCTAATTCAAAATTTCTTTTTGTATTTTTCAGGCACGTTTCAGGGTCAGTGGTTACGGGGAACTCGCCATGGATACGGCGTTAGATCTAGTGTGCCTTACGGACTCGCCTCACATTACCGTCCTAAAAAGATTCGCGCCTCTCTCACGTCGATACGTAGTGAGAACGAGGACGAACAAGTTGTGAAAAATCGTGATAAAAAACTTGACGAAAGTCGGGGAGGTTTCGTCCTAAAAGCTAGAAGTGACGAAACACCTCCAAGTCGACGCCGTTCCATTTTCGACAAACAGGGTCGATCTAGTTTGCGAAAAACGTTAATGTCAGGATTGAAGTTAAAGAAACAAAAAAGTACAGGGGATATTAATGATTCGCCAAAACGCCAAACGGGGTCGGTTCGTAGTACGATTAGTAACATTAGCCATGTCAGTGCCGATTCAACTCAGTCTGGAATAACGAACGCTTCTGTATATACAGATAGTAATCTTAGTTTTGTTAGTCAAGACGATATCACTGATGTTAACGTAACAGAAACGTATATGGGTGAATGGAAAAACGACAAACGTTCCGGGTTCGGAATAAGTGAACGGTCTGACGGATTGAAATACGAGGGAGAATGGTACAACAACAAGAAATACGGATATGGAGTTACGATTTTTAAGGACGGAACTAAAGAAGAAGGAAAATATAAAAACAATGTGCTTATTTCATCGGGCAAGAAAAATAAATTATTCTTAATTCGGACTTCAAAGTTACGTGAACGTGTGGATAACGCTGTTTTGTCAGCTCAAAGGGCAGCGCAAATTTCCTTACAGAAAGCAGATATTGCTATCACGAGGTAAGCATATTTTTAGTTATTTTAGCATTAAGGGGTGTCGTCATAATGGTGCTCATGTGGGAGCCCAAAATTTTGAGGTGGGGGGAAGAGACTCTTTGCTTCAGTTTTCATCGTCATATCGATTTTGTGGGGTTGGATGATGGGCGCTGCAAGTCTCACAAGCCTTCTCACACATATTTACTTTCCTATCTGATATAGTTTTTCTGTCAGCTTGCGTGTTTAATTGTCCTAGCCAAAGGATATCTTTCATTGCTTGACCATTAACCTTCATTCTGTAAATCATTCATCTATTTTATACAAAAAGCCTACACCCATGTAACTATGCGATGACATCATCAAAACATGTGTAGAATGTCAGGAGAATTGTGGTATTTTGTGCTGACCACATGGTTACCAGATTGATCTAGCTTTGTTTTATGTGGTACCAGTAGATTATTATTTTAGGTATACAGATTAGCCACTCACTGGATTTGATTTTCTTTACGCTGTCCAATATTAACTATGTGGACTCTCTGAAAGGGAGGATGCTGGTGTATCCAAATACCCATTAAACATTTTAACTCTTCAGACCTTCTGAAAAGAGTGTCCAGTTAGTAAACCTAGCTATATGAACTATTTGCAATCTAGATAATGTTCATTTGCTTTTTGGATTTGACACTTTACCTTTCAGAAAGTTCAAGTAGCTGAAAAGGTTCATTTTGTATTGGTTTGTCATCCCAGCTTCTTTTTTTTTTAAAACAACTCCTTTAGTCTAAAGACAAACAACTTTGCCAGAATCAGAATATCAGAATATTCCATAGACAATTTCTTGTGCCAATCTTCTTATCTTCTTTCCTTTTACCTTATCAGTTTTATTCTTTGATGGAGCTCTTTATTCTAACACTTACCCTTGAAGTAATACCCTATTTGAAGTTAGACGTTATCAGACTCCATTAAACAGCAGTTCGTCAAATTTCAGATATTTACTTATTGTAATGTTCGCCCTTTTTTGGGCAGCATACATCATGACACAAGATAATACATAATAATACAGGATAAAAAAATGGCATTAATATCACATTACCAGTTTTTCCCTGGTCGGTGATACATTGTCCCCTACATGATTTTTTTGATCAATTTTTCATTTTTGCCCCAAAATATGTGTGAAAGTGGACAAAATCAATTAAATTTTTAGAAAATTCTCTTCGGAGAACTCTCTCAGACGTTCCATCGGAGGCTGACGACAAAATGCCTCCACGGAGTTGCCCCATTTTGAATTCAGGCTGGGCATTGTCCCCCCCATTGAGTCAGTCTGCCCCCTAATTGTACCCCCAACCCCCCCGAAGGCTGGTACCACCAGTGCTTGATGGATCACAATGTCTTTACAATATGATATTCTATTTGATATGAGATAACCTCGGTTGAAATATTTTTTTGATTATTATTTTATCAAACCCTATACCTTTGCTATCAGCAGCTCTTTGATAAAAAGAATTATAAAGGAAAGGTGTCAAATGGCCTTGCTGGGAATATTTTTTGAATTTTTATTAAGTTAATAACTGTCTGAGGATGTTGTTTGAAACTATGTAAATCTTGGCAGACATCAACCTCATCAAATTACTCTTGTATCTCCAGATATTGATAATGAACAACTGCTTCTATTTCAAATGAATTCAAGAGAGAAAACACATTTTTTTTCAAAGGCACATTAACAGGTTCACTGGGATCGTTTCTTCCAGCTGGTCCTTGGCAAAACCTCTTACCGCTTGGGGTTATCTGTTCCAAATTACAAATCACACTGTGCCTTAATCACTGTGCTTAAATGATGTCTGCTTAACTGACCGAGTGCATCTAAAGTACTATGTGTAACTGACTTGTGCCTAAATGTTTGTGCCTACCGTGAAATGACAGTGGCTCGACTAGTTTAGTGGGGATCTGCATATTTAAGTGGGTTGGGGGCCCCACCCCTGGTATTTTTTGCTCTCCTGCATTCTGAGACCCTGCTATTTTACTCATTTAAATATATTTTGTATTTTCTCTCTGGGTATTGGGGCCCCCTTAGGAAACGGTTCAACCATTCAACATGGTAGTCAAGCCACTGCTCAACGTCTGCATACCTTCCCAGCATACACCCTGGTTGATATTTATCATAATAATCAGTAGTTTTATCATAGTGAATACATCTTAGATAATATATTAAACATACACTATCAGTTTTCTCCCTCTCTAGTGTCAGTCGTCTCGGGTATTAACTCAATTCTTCTGGTTGCTATGGTGGCATGATATGGAAGTCAAGGAATAGAATTCTTTAGAGATCATCAGTAATGGTGATACTACCAATTGTTTATTTATTATTCTCTATGTTGACACACAACCAACTGCTTTATCTAGCTGTAGTCAGAATACAAATTGGAGAATTCAAGATGTATTTGATTCTTGTGTCCTAATGTGAAACAAATGAAGTTTTTGACTTGTTGTATAACACAGTCGGTTAGAGCGTTGGTTCTTAACATGACATCATTCGCTTGGTTACGTCGAGCAAATGGCAGCTGTGGGTTCCTATCTTGATCGGCGTGTGATAGTCCGATGGCCTTCAATAAGTCATCTTCACTCATAATTCCAGTCTACCCAGCTGTAAAATGGGTACGGATAATCCGGGAAAGATCAATGCCAAGAGGTTTGGCCAAAGACCAGCTGGTAGAAAGGATCCTTAACTGTGAACCTAAGTTGTTCTTTCTTTCTGACTTTATCCATAAGGCATTGACTTCTAACATTACTTTTATAAGGATACAGAAAGGTAGGGTGTTAAGAACATGGATTAGATTCCCATCAACTTTACATGATCAATTCTACAGATTTTTCAGTTTTTCTTGATACAGAAAACAATGATTTCTAAACATCATTTTATACTCAGGTTTTTCAACAATGATAAACATTTTTTATTGATAAAAAACAGTAGGATGTAAAACTCCATTTCAATTCATAGATAAACTATCAACCTTGCATTAGCTATTCTACAGCAATCTGAATGATGATTTTAAATAAAACGTTTGATATTGATTGAGCTACCCGGAAGAAATTCTCCTCTCTCTCTCTCGGTCTCTGTCTCTCTCTCGAGATAATATAATCAATACGGACTATTCTGAAACAGGCTATAGAAATAAAGACTAGGTTGTTATTGGACGTATTTCACATTGTTTGTTTTTGCAAATTTGTTGACTAATCGAAATTTGCATATCAGCTTCCATACATACTGATAGTCTAGCTTTGCTTTGCCTAAACTTCCATACCATTGGCGGAGACAAAGGGGGGCCAGAGGGGTTACCCGCCACCCCTCGCAGCCCCAAAGGCATGTTTTTTGGAAAAAATCTCATAACTAGGTTAGAATTTCGGGCAACCTCAGATATTTCGTCCCCCCTTGGACGTAAACCTGGCTCCACCACTGGTCCATACGTGGATGAACTTTTGTAAAATCACATTGAATGAATATAGAATTGACTAAGAAATTATAGAAGTGCATGCTGGGATACTGAAGACTGAGATTTATATCATTGTAAATAATTCTATATATTATAATACCACCCTATACTGTATAGATATATTATTATTACTAATAACTACCCTGTTTTCTATATCACCCCACTATTTACAGTCAACTCCAGTAGAGAAAAGGATGTAAAACTCCATTAATTTCATTTCATTTCCAGTAGAGAAAATTACAAAATTCTTCACCAGAATATCCATTCTGTGTAAAAATTACCTAATTTCAATCTAGGATACTCTTCTCTGGAATATCAATCCAGCTAATAAATAGCCAAACCTTCACAACTGAAAGCCTTGTATCAAAATTCAAATATTAGCTATGTAGACCCTCTTAATGTCCTTCTGACAGTCAGAGAAAATTACCTATTTTAAATTTAATTTTTAATTCTCCATTGAATATTTGGAATCTATAACTAACTGTTTTAAACTTTTTGAATTCAATGGTAGAAATAATATTATGTAATTTGTAAATCAGAAGAGAAACAGAGCAATAAAACTTATTATTCAATAAAAATGTAATTGTATAAAAAAAATGTTGAAATTGAATTATATTAAACTTTGAAATTATGTTCATAGTAAACTCTTGAATCAGAGCAAATCAAAACTTAATTATTCAGCAAAAATTTTGAATTTAAATTAAATATTATATTTTGAAATTATGTTCATAGTAAACTCTTGAATCAGAGCAAATCAAAACTTAATTATTCAGCAAAAATTTTGAATTTAAATTAAATATTATATTTTGAAATTATGTTCATAGTAAACTCTTGAATCAGAGCAAATCAAAACTTAATTATTCAGCAAAAATTTTGAATTTAAATTAAATATTATATTTTGAAATTATGTTCATAGTAAACTCTTGAATCAGAGCAAATCAAAACTTAATTATTCAGCAAAAATTTTGAATTTAAATTAAATATTATATTTTGAAATTATGTTCATAGTAAACTCTTGAATCAGAGCAAATCAAAACTTAATTATTCAGCAAAAATGTTGAATTTAAATTAAATATTATATTTTGAAATTATGTTCATAGTAAACTCTTGAATCAGAGCAAATCAAAACTTAATTATTCAGCAAAAATTTTGAATTTAAATTAAATATTATATTTTGAAATTATGTTCATAGTAAACTCTTGAATCAGAGCAAATCAAAACTTAATTATTCAGCAAAAATGTTGAAAAGTAAAATTATCAAGTGAATTATAAAGTTGTTAGTAAATTGATAAATTATTGAGATTGGCGTTGAATGACCTAGTTTTGACTGGATGATTATATTGATTTTAGTGACAGCTGGAGTCTCGCTAATTAACACCACCATATACAAGATACAATGACACTAGGTATATTGTTAACACCACGCTATACAAGAGACAATATATGTTGTACTAGGTATATCAGTTCACCACGCTATCCAGGATATTTTTCACCTGTGTTGAGGTGTTGGTGTAAAAAGAATCCAAATCTCAGATGCGGAGAAAGAGGTTTGGTCAACGACCAGATGGAAGACTGGATCCTTATGAACCTAAGTTGTTATCCTTGTAAATCATTACCAAGAGGTTTGGTCAAGACCAGCTGGAAGACTGGATCCTCATGAACCTAAGTTGCTATCCTTGTAAATCATTAACAAGAGGTTTGGTCAAGACCAGCTGGAAGACTGGATCCTTATGAACCTAAGTTGTTATCCTTGTAAATCATTACCAAGAGGTTTGGTCAAGGACCAGCTGGAAGACTGGATCCTTATGAACCTAACTTATTATCCTTGTAAATCATTACCATGAAGTTTGGTCAAGGACCAGCTGGAAGACTGGATCCTTATGAACTTAAGTTGTTATCCTTGTAAATCATCACCAAGAGGTTTGGTCAAGGACCAGCTGGAAGACTGGATCCTTATGAACTTAAGTTGTTATCCTTGTAAATAATCACCAAGAGGTTTGGTCAAGGACCAGCTGGAAGACTGGATCCTTATGAACTTAAGTTGTTATCCTTGTAAATCATCACCAAGAGGTTTGGTCAATGACCACCTGGAAGACTGGATCCTTATGAACCTAAGTTGTTATCCTTGTAAATCATCACCAAGAGGTTTGGTCAAGGACCAGTTGGAAGACTGGATCCTTATGAACTTAAGTTGTTATCCTTGTAAATCATTACCAAGAGGTTTGGTCAATGACCACCTGGAAGACTGGATCCTTATGAACCTAAGTTGTTATCCTTGTAAATCATTACCAAGAGGTTTGGTCAATGACCACCTGGAAGACTGGATCCTTATGAACCTAAGTTGTTATCCTTGTAAATCATCACCAAGAGGTTTGGTCAATGACCACCTGGAAGACTGGATCCTTTTGAACCTAAGTTGTTATCCTTGTAAATCATTACCAAGAGGTTTGGTCAATGACCACCTGGAAGACTGGATCCTTATGAACCTAAGTTGTTATCCTTGTAAATCATTACCAAGAGGTTTGGTCAAGGGCCAGCTGTAAGATTGGATCCTTATGAACCTAAGTTGTTATCCTTGTAAATTATTACCAAGAGGTTTGGTCAATGACCAGCTGGAAGACTGGATCCTTATGAACGTAAGTTGTTAACCTTGTAAAAATTGTTGTTTTTTCTTTTCTTATAGTGGCAGCTTACAGAGTTTGAAATATGTTTATCATGATCAGGATGGTCTAAAACTGAATGCAATGGTGAAGAATTCTTAAAAAATCAAATCAAGTTCTAAGAGTGCGGATTACTCCCTCAAATGATAAAACTATTTTTATCCAAAAAGATTTCAGACATGATAAAAAATGGCCAATATTTGACGACCCAGTTCTGCCAGGAATAATCTTCCAGACGATCGTTTCAAATAGTTTACAGTTTAAGTAAATGAGAAAAAATGCCAAACTTCCACATTCTTTATCAGCTATCAAATAAATTACACAATTTACACTTGAAATCAGAAATAATTAGGAAACTTTTCTTTGTTTTTCAAAATATATTGAGCTGTCAATCTAATTAAATAGATTACTGTTTCCTTTCTGATATATTTCATTTGCATTGCAATTCACTGAAATCCAAACACAGCCTCTTTTGGTTTTTCTATCTGTATTTTCACATTGTTAACAAGAAACGGGTCCTAATTTACATACTTTGATTGGTTAAAAATGATGCCATTATAACACAACTGTGCTTAAAAACTTGTTAGATTACAATGGACATTAAAATATCAGGAAAAAAAGAAACGGAACCTTTCAAACTATTAGTATGAAACAATTAAAAACAGATCTTGGTGAAATATGACCGTTTGTCTACAAGTTTTAAGTTTCTAAGAATAAAGGTCAAAGGGTAAGTGTTTCCTAGGTTACCAGGTAGCAGATGAGATGTAACAGAAATGGCGGGAATATTATATTTCTGCTAGATAAAATATCCTGAGGCAGAGGGAATTATGTGGTACTTGTAAAAGAGCAATGGCTGGCACCTATTGAGTGTGAGAGCCGACACTGGGCCGACTCTCGGAAGCACTGGCACAGAAATCAGAATTTTTCTTTCCTTAAGGAGCATTCGGACCTACGGCAACTAACCGCCTAACAGACAACTCTACCAACTGAGATATTCCAAATATTCCAAATAATTTTAATCTTAAATCTGAACAATTTATGGGTTTTTATTGATATTGTGACTGCAAATTTATGTTTTTCCATTAATATCAATAAAGGGTATTCCTTGTATGAACTTTATTTGTAGGATATTTAAAACTTTTCACCACAATACCTAACTTTATTTACAACTCTTCATTACAAGTAAAGGCTACTATAGATTCAATGCAAATATTTTAAAATATACAAAGTTCATCAACTCACACCTTCACTTTAAGTTCATCATGATTCCTGATGCATGATTCATGTATTTATACTCTAATACCAGGCTGTAAGGGTTAGCACTGAAAAAACTCATTTTATTAGTACTCTTCAACAAACATTGTTTATAGTAACATTTGCAGGATACAAAATACATATCATGACAGCTATTTTCTCTTTCTTTGTATTACAGAATTTTATTTTCAACTATTGGATTCAATTTGTTTTAGGATATTTAGTAGGGATGTTGATTTGACTATGTGGCGGAAAATATGGGCTAAAATATCTGTAATGGACAAATCGGTCGGACTTAGTCGAAAGACTCCTGAAACTAAAATTTGCTCTTTCTTCTACTTGTAGAATGGCCAACGCATGAGCAAAATCTGTTTGGACATCAAGTGTGGGTCAAAACTAAATATCCAATAATATTAAACATTTCCTCTCATCTTTCTACTTGCAGAATAACCAACGCACGAACGAAATCAGAACAATTCTGTTTAGACATGAATTATTGGTTGAGATTCATCCACTAAAATTCATTGTCTTGTGTCTTTCTACTTTCAGAATGGCCAACGCACGAGCGAAAGCCGAACAAGCTGATGCAGCCGGAGATAAAGCCCAACAAGATTGCGACGTGGCGAGGTTAAAAGCCAAAGAATACGCTCCGGAATTCCATCAACCAGGTAATTTTGTTAGAATTTCAATTTTTAGTATTCATGTGGAACATCCTTAGTAAAACATCTTGGGGATTCTGGTGGGACTCTTCGGAAAATTATGATTTCTTTATAAGTAATCGGTAATGAGTTTTCATTGAAATATATTGTGTGATTTTGATATATTATAATTGAGTAGGATTTTTGAATCTAAAACTTGAAAAAACATAAAGGAAAGATTTGGTGGAGCTTACATGGAATTATATTAATTACAAAAAGAAATTTTCAAAGGGATTTTGATGTAGTCTTTTTATTTTCTGTTTAAACTCCACTGGGATCCAGTCTTGTTTCAATGAGATGATAAATATATTACAATTCCACTATCCTTTAGTGTTCAGTTGGATTCCACTTATATTTTTACTGGGAATGATCCACAATCACCAGAATTTAGCATTAAAGAAAATAACATTCATATAATCTTTGCTTTCCTCCCTTTCTCTTCCCTTCAGAAATCCTGAAAATCTTCCCTCACTGTCTAAAAATGTAACATAAAACGATTTAGGTTGTATAATGTAAGGAGGAGATATTATTTTTGGCGGCCATCTTTCACCATATGATAATAGTTCTATACCAGTTTTTATCTTTTCCTTTCTTAATCGACATCAATCAGATATCATCCTGATTTATTCACCGGCCAATTGTCTCACCTGACATTCTGGTCATACCTGGTACTTCTGATCTATATAAACCATAACATGTTTTTATATCGCGATTCCGAGTTTAATTCTAAATAATTAATGAATGAGAAAAGCTGTTTGTCGTGTTTTCGTACCCTACATTCTGATCATACCTGGTTTATATCAACCATCAAACCATTTTATATTGCCGTCGTTAACAGCCAGTCCAATTCCAATTCCAAATGAATGGAAAAGAAAGTTTTGTTTCCATACCCTACTTTGTGGTTATATCTGGTACATCTGGTTTATGTAACCATAAAACGTTTTTATATGGTCAGCTTTAACAGCAATTCTGAATTCCATGTCATCATTATATGAAACTTTTTTATACACCCTCATAACTGTTGGATCTCCATGATATAATGGTGAAATATTATGGTTATATATTTTGCTTATGTTTAATCTTGGTATGTTAATGCAATCTTTGTAAGGTTGGTTAATGGTTAATGGTTAAATTGATTAAAAGTATTAAAGCTATCATGAAATTTACCGTTGTGTGGGTGTGTATCCTTTTTTTATGACTTTATGATTTTTCTTTGCTAATTAAACCTTTATTTTGTCTATTTTCAGGTACTGATATCTTAAAGAAACAAATAGAAAATAATGAACAAGAGTATGACTTTAGTTACGTGAAACAAATGCAAAATCATAACCCACATCGTTCGAAATCCATGATCCATCAATCGGACACGGGGGCCCTGGATCCTAACACTCTCTCGTCTACTCCCAACTATCAACATCTCAACAGTACTCCTCGACAACCAAACGATATCAGCAGTCTCTCACCAGGCGGGTTTGGTCCGGGTGGATATGGTAATGGCGGGTTAGGAAATCCTGGATACGGAAACGGTGGTTATGAACCAAACAACCCCAGTTCTCTGCAAGCACAACAAGAGAATATGGAAGCCTTGAAAGTCAGTCAACATGGACGTTCCCCGTCTCTTAAAGTCCGCCGTTATAGTTTCTTAGCAGGCTCTCGTCGAGGCCGTGGATTCAGTGAAATTTTCAACTCGACGATTCTCAATGATCATTTTGATCAGTACTCAGCCCTGAGGGATGACAGTGGATTAGGTCGTGAAATTGACCCCAATGATGACCGCGCCCGCATCGGGCATATAGACACTTCGCCAGATTCGGGAGTTTCTGAACCCTTAGACGATAATAACAAAAACCATCCGTTGCAACGCAGACGGACATTGCCATGTATTATCAAGGAGCCTCAAGATGATATTAAAAAAGAGCTTTCAGAACAAGAAACCGCACACAGTAGTGAAAATTTGACGGCAAAGGACACTGAAAGTTACATTATTGAAAACGGAATTCGCAAACGCGTAAGAGCAGAAGTGCATCAAAATTCATCCCGCAGTCGAGGAGATCTACCAAACGAATATAAAATTGAGAGTGAGAAGAAATTAGGTACAGACGTGAACCGAGGTAGTCTTCCAGATTTGAAAGCTGTAACCCACCAAGTTCCCATGCGACGAGACGAGGTGTTCAGGTTGGGAATGGCTCGGCGGGAAGAGATCAGACGACTCCAAGATATTGCTGAACGGAGAAGACAGGGTGATGTTGGTGTTATTTTGGGCGATCTCAAGGTCAGTATTATGTTGTCAATTTTTTTCATTTGGGGATTATTTTTCCTTTGGGGGAACCCCTGTCCTGCAAGCTATTATCCAAAGAGGACTTGAATTACTTATGTTATTATTGAGCAAATAACCACTTATATAACAGACGATAATCTATCTATCTATCAACTAGCAACTGAGCTATTCTACTTTTAGTGGTAACACCATTCACCAATGTCCAACTCCTCTTCAAATAAGGAGTTCAATGCTCAGTGTTTTCTTGATTTCATTAGTATCAGATCTTTCTCTTTTTCTAATTACAGGACTGGTGCCAAGAACGACAACTTCTGGTATTAGTGATCGCTATCAACCTCAGCCTAGCAACCATGTTCTTCAACTTGCTTTCATGAGAATGACCCGTCGCCTTTACCATGGTTACAGAATATGGTTATCGCCATCCCCGTTTACGTTTTGAGCACATGATTGTTGGTTGGTTCAGCTCAAAGTTTTGTTGAAGGAAACAGTAGTTCATTGACGCCCTTGACATTGAGTTGAGAAGAGTTCAAAGGTTAGAGGTTATCAAGGTCATTCGTTACCCCTTTTAATGGAATGGAAGCTGGCACTAATTGATGGGTTTGTTGAAAAAGCATTTGTTTCATCATAGCAACCTGGCTGATTACAGTCGCCATTTTGAAAATGTTTTGATTGTTTTGTGTTATTTCATTGGTTGAAAGTGACCCGGATGTGTTTCCAAGTTACTGATTTGTTTGTTTATAACTATTATTGTTGACTACCATAGCAACAGTGTCATTCAGGCGCATTTTAGAATTGGTGGTAAATATATTCGACCATCGTTAGCCTAACTACAAACTGAAGGAGTGATTTGACGTCACAATTATCATAGAACAACCTTCACCTTGCCAATACCACCTAGTGACCTTGACCTTTACCATGGAAACAAATCCCAACATTTGTATGATAACCATGACAACAACACACCAGAAGAATGATACTAGGTTGTTATTTAATGTTGAACATCATTT